TTGTATCAATTTGTAATAGTTGAATATCCATATTCCAATATTTAAGAAATGCTATAGCGTCTAGCATGATGGCTCAGTGGCTAAATTCCCACCTTGTATGCATCAGGATCCCATATGAGCACCAGTTTGTATTCTGGCTGCCTCACTTCCCATCCAGCTCCCTGCTTGTGGCCTGGAAAAGCAATAGAGGACTTGAGACCCTGCGCCCAAAAGGGAGACTTGGAAGAAGCTCCTGGCTTCAGATTGGCTCAGCTCCAGCTGTTTACAGCTACTTGGGGAGTGAACCAGTGGATGGAAGATTTTTCTATCTCTCCTTTTCATCACAAATCTAATCTGCCTTTTGAATAAAAATAAGTAAATATTTACCAAAAACTAGCATTTAAAAAGGAAAAAAGAAATGCTGTAATAAATAAGTACATATTTATATCTATCTCATTTTTTGACAAGAACACCAATAAGTAGGATTGAGTTAAAATATATGATCATTAAAACCACTTTTTCAACTTGAAAAAAAATCCTTCAAATGGACATTTCAAAGCTTTTGATAGATTTTATAAAACTAATTGCCAAGTATGCTGTATCAGATTTTATCCCCTTCTGTAGTGGATAAGAATCCTCTTTCAACTTTAATTGTAGCAGCCCCAGATGGTTCCTAAATTAGATGATTTAAAAATATACATATATATATCAATAATTTAAGGAAGAAAAGCATATATCTTCTACACAAAGATTCCTGCCCCTTCCTTTATTCAGATACTATTTAGATCCTTGTGGATATAGATACTCTAGATCCAACTGCTCATCTGTCTCTGTATCTCTTGTCATAACAGTTCTCTTCATCCTATCTTTTAAGACACACACACAAACATACACACATACACACACACACAGAAGCTAAGTTTTGAAATGTCCTTTCTAAGTACAGGAGCGAATGCAATATTTTATTCCATCTTTATTCTACAGTCCATTCTAAATCTTGACAGATGTATTTTCTGCGTCACTGCTTATCATAGTCATACATTTGTATGTATACCTATCTGTCTGACTTTAAGCACTTCAATGACTGCACATTTATATGCTGTATATTTTACTTCTAGCAGTTTGAATTTATAAACACTCAAGACTTGTTTGAGATCTTTGAAAGGATATGTGGATTCTCTGGCTGCCTTAACATTCAACGAAGCTGCTTTTGGAGTTACTGTCTCAAACCTCAGCCTGGCCAACATGGCCTTGAGACTATAAGGGGAGACACAACAGTCTGAATGCAGCAATGAGAGCTAAACCCAGAGGCTGCTGTGCGGAGTGATTTGGCATTTGGTGCAAACTGCTTTGCCGTCTCCTTTTATGTTACAGAATCCTTTGTGTCCTACTGTGTGTCAGATCCTTTCTAAAGGACCAGGCTGCAAATGGCCTTGTGCTTGACAGAATCAGTGGGAACACTGAGGATTTCAACAAATGCCACTGACTCACAAGATAAAAAGGAGTGCAAAAGAGTCCATCTACCTTTGACTTGATCCATTACCTCTTCCAACTATAACACACCATGGGGACCCTCCTTCCACAAGTCCCATCAGTTATTCCTGTGAGTGAGTGTTACTGTTGTGAAAAAGAAAAGAGTGGCAAGTGGCTGTCTTTGCTTTTGAAAAGTTTTTTCCATTACATTCTATTTGTCATTTCCATGGAAACCTTGAAGAAAGGTAGACAGAAGCCAGTGCTTATGGTGCCAATTTACAAAGATGTCAAATAAGATCTCTTTTTATTAAAAGTCTCCTCTGGGATATCTGGCAAGATTTTGTTTCATTATATATTTAAAGTAAAATTGTAGTTTTCCACATGATTGAAGAATTATTTTATCATTCCACATGTCAATCAAATATTATGGTTCTAAACAAGTAGTTCTTTCCAATGAACATTACACTAAGGCAGTAAAATGCCACAGACCAAGTCAATATGGATGGAGAGCAACACCAGCATATTCAGTGACTGAAAACACATCATCTTTTAATGCCTCATTAGAAGGAATGAAACAACTTAAGGCTAAGATACTGATTCAACCAATTAGTCACAGCTTCCTGTGACGGTAGTATTCTAACTCAAAACCAATGATAACATTAAATGTTACATATTGAAGAAGAATCTAATTTTAAAAAGCATTCTAGCTGTACTAATTACTAGTATTTTGTAAGTGTTCAGGTTGAAAGAAGTAGAGGCAATAATAATTTAATACCTGCCATGGTGAGAAAATAAATTTAAATTATCTGCTTTAAATAATAAAAACATGGCTCCACCAATAGCCTCAGTCACAACATTTCTATACAGAACATGTTAAACCACTATGAGTTCTGCTAGGTACTTCAGAGGAATTTCATTTAATGTCCCAATCCTGTTGCCTAGAAATTATGTTCTAAGCTATTTTATAAGAGGAAATAGACTCTGAGATTAAACAGTCCAAGGAGGTTGTTTGGGTCACCTCTAGGAAACTTTAGGGATTTTGCAGAATGCTGTTTATACAGATCCAAACTGTTGGTGAGGACAGATGTCCCCTGGTTCACACAGTCCTCTGTTAGCAGTATTCTGATGGCCATGTCTGCAACCTTTCAGGAAGCATTCACATTTTCTGTGATTCCAAAGAAGGTGTTCATACTCTAACCAAGGATGTAAAAATGTATACAAGTGCATATCGCTGGCAAGAGAGTTTTACATCAGGTTTCTACAGCCTTCACTATCATAGTATCTTCTAGATACTCCATGGAGCCTGATTCTAAGTTAAAAGAACCAGAAAAATCTTTTCTTTCATATTTCTGAGACAATTCTACAGTACAACATTCTAGGGTACACACACTAAGAACAAAGTGGAGGCAACTGCCCATGCTTCTGTTACTTGGTATAATCAGACTCCCATAGCAAAGAAATCGGGTGAAGGTTGCTGATGCCTTGCCTACCTCAAGGTAGAAATCTGCTGTTTCTCAATACTTACACAGAAAAACTGCTTAAAGAACAAAAAACAACTGAACTGAGTTTATCAAAGTCATCAAAAATTATCAAAGGATAAAATGTTAAGTCATATAAAGTTATCAAAGAGTTCTGACTAAATACATCAACATGAGCAATTACATTTCTAAATGAAAGGATTATATAGAAACAATTCACTGTTTTTACACAGAAAACCATGTATATTCTTCCAATGAACAAAAAAGTACAGATGGAATTTTTCACCATTGTTCCAAAGAAGCTCTGCTGAATTTCAAGTATTTTCTTTGAATAATTATGTTTGACAGGTATAAAGGTTAATGCTAGTAAGGTAATTACAATTACTGATGGCAATGTCCACTGGGCTATGTCTATGCAGGTGTTTCCCTCCATGGTTCTACTCCAGCATAAAAATTCCTGGCATAGAAAATTCCAGGTTTAAACATAACACATTAGTAATGATTATTTCCATTCCTTCCCCAAACCATGGAATTTATTCATGTCATGATTTTTTTAGGATTTTTGATATAAAATTCAATTTTAAAAACATATTTATTTAGAAAAAATACATTTCTTTAGGGCCCAGCACAATAGACTAGTGGGAAAATTGCATGCTATTTTAATCAATAATATGGGCCCAGTGTGATGCACTGGCCTAGTGGCTAAGTCCTTGCTTTGTAACTGCCAGGATCCCACATGGGCACTGGTTCATGTCCTGGCTGTTCCACTTTCCATCCAGCTTCCTGCTGGTGGCCTGGGAAATCAGCAGATGATGGCCCAAAGCCTTGGGATCCTGTACCCTTGTGGGAGACCCAGAGAGGCTCCTGACTCCTGGCTTGGATGGACTCAGTTTCGGCCATTGTGGCCACTAGGGGAGTAACCAGTGGATGAAAGATCTTTCTGTCTCTCCTTCTCTCTAAGTTTGTCTTTCCAATTAAAAAAAAAAAAAAACCTCTTTTTAAAACATCAATAATATAATGTACCTATATCAATCTATGCTCATAGATGTCACATTTGTGTCAACTGCATGTGTAGGTACAAGTACTGGATGGCTATATCTCATAATATAGTTATAACAAAGCATTCACCTATTTAAATATGAACTAGTTTATTTTAAATCACTACTTTTATAGCACTTTTAAGCTATGTCTTTGAGTTTTATAAATTATGAGTATAGTTAGGTAAATTGTAATTTTTATTGCAGAAAATAAATGTTAAGAAATAACTAAAACAAGAGTTGTAGTTAATGAAGACTCAAAAGCACTTCTGATATAGGAAGAAAAAAATATGAAAGTTTCCAATCATCTAGTTTCCCCTCTGGTCTCTATCTGCTGATATGTCAGGTGCCAGTTAGGGCATCGCTCTGTTTCTTTTTCTAGTCCAGTGCTGACTCCAGGGGTATTTAAGCGACAGATCATGCAGTTCCTTTACAGGGTGTTTGCTTGGCCCCAGCTTAAGGAGCAAATGCCTGAGCCAGCAGCTTTAAAGGTAGGGAACTGGTTCAGCTATTCCATAGTCCTCTGATTAATTACCCTGCTGACTGCCTCCAGGACTGTTTCTCGTCTTCCTATGAACCTAGGTTTCCTTCACTATGGCTCTACTTAACTGTTTCAGCAGTCTTGTCTTTTTGATCTCTATTGTATTTGAGTCTTCTGCTCATCTGGGTTGTAGCTTCAATCTTATTCCATCTGCTGTACATTATCAAAAAATTCTTCAATTTTAATCCACTCTTCCAGATTTTTAGTGTTGCTATTGGCTCATTTTTATACTTAAAATTTACCCACTTGAAACAGACTTTGGATGGAAGAAGCAGTAAAGACATGTGTCAATTAGCAGGAGGCCATTTTGCACACTTTAAAGCAAACATTTTTACCCTACAGTTGGTACATTAAAATATTTATTGATTAGCTACCAATTTTAGTGTAGACAAACAAACATATTTAACAGTATTATACTGTCAGGCTTGAAAGTTTCCTATTGTTACAGGAGTTATCCAAAAAACAAATAAGAAAAAGAATGAAAGAACTTACAATCCATATCAAGTATGGCACGGACGGATTTGACCAGTTCCTTACACTCCAGCAGCAGGGTTGCTGGGATGTTTCGCGCGGTCCTTCCTCCCAGTGGTGTCAGGGAAGTCTGAGAAGCAAAAGCAGCTCTTCTTTCACTGTGAGGAGAAAAAAAAACAGTTGAATTTCTTGTACAAGAGATACCATTCATGTTGGTTAAATCCGAATTTGTATTACTCACACAGTTGTATAAAATATTCCTATTTCCAGCAACATTATATTCCAACAGCCATGTATTAAGTAATTCACATAAATATTTATCTGTTTTCAATTCTTAATTATATAATTAACGGGTATATTTAAAAAGCTAATTTGGTGTTTTGCAAGAACAAATGAACAGAAAGATGGTCTAGTTTTTAAATCAGCTACTGGGCTTATTTTCTGAGTGCCCGTGTTTTGCTAACATGATCTAGCCCTTCATTTGGTTTTATATTAATTTAAATTTAGCATATGAACAGAAATTTACTCAACATTTACTATTACCTCTAGTAATGCTATGTACGTTCTCTCTGTGTGCTCCTGAAATTACCTCTTCAATAGTTCCACTTATTACTCCTAAATCAGAAATAACTCCGTGCATTTGTATCACTTCTTAGAAACGTGAGTTACCAGAAAGAAATGTATTCTGAAATAATTAAAAATGTGATACATGCTTTTCCTCAAAAAAATCAGAACTTTCACATGAAAAGGGGCAATTTAAATCTGAGGTTAAGCCTTCCTTATTTTAAAAAATCTATCTTCTTGGGCTCGACATGGTAGCCTAGTGGCTAAAGTCCTCCCTTGCACATGCCAGCATCCCATATGAGTGCTGGGAAGCACAAGGAAGCAAGGTAGTGTGACACCTCTAAAATAACACAAAAAATTCTCCAGAAATAGAACCTGATCTGAAGGAAATCTAAAAAAATGGCAGAAATACAATTAAAAATAATGGATTTTACCTAAGAAACCAAGATGCAATGCAAGAAAATATGAATAAACTGTTGATAGAAATAAAGGAAATAAGAACATGAATAAAACATTCAGTGAAGAGACAAAATTACTAAAAAAAAAGAAAAAAACAAACTAAAATTTTGGTAATAAAAATGTCAATGAAATAAAAAAACACACAATTGAGCATTGCAACAGAACACGGGAAAACATTTCTGACAAGATTTGATAAAAATAAAGAGAAAAGAATTAGAAGAGTAGAGAAAGCTTGTATGAAATATGAGATATTATTAGGCAACTAAGTATTTTGAATAAATTTTTAGGGATTATAGAAGAGAAGAAAATAAAAACAGTACTGAGAATCTATTAAAATAATAGCTGAAAATATCCCAGTAACCAAGTCACCCATCAAGGAAAATTCCCACACTTGAAGGCTTCCCTGCCTAATCCTACAAATTCTTCAGAGCATATACTAACAGCAAATACTTTTCAACAACCCCAAAATACTGAACATGAATCTCAGGCAAATTCTTTTTATGATGCTGGAATCACTTTGATACCAAAACCAATAAATATATAACACAAAAAAGGAGCTACAAACCTATATTCTTGATGAACACAGATAAAAAAAAATCTCAACAAAATATAATCTAGATCTAAAACTGCATCAAAAGATCATATATCATGATCAAGTGGTATTTATGTGACACACACAAGACTAGGTCAACACTTGCAAATCAATAAAAGTCATAAATGTCCAGAAATTTCATTTACACAAAAAGGACCCAAAATAATGTGCTCCTGTATCTTTTTTCTAATATGTTACAAAATGACACCTGATGGCATCTTTAAATGATCAGAGTTATTTATTATTTTAATCATAATCACCAGGTGGAAAATTTAATCAGTGGCCATACATTGTGAAATGTGGAAATACTCTTACCTTAAATTTGATAAAGAAATAGAATTATCAGAAAACACTTCTTGAATAGCCTAGCAACAAACAAGAGAGTGAAGGAAATATGTAAGTTAAACAATTTTTAAAAGTGTAATCAATGAATTATACAAACTCCCCTTCCCTATGATTAAACGGATGTTTCTAATGTATGGAAAAAAAATAAATTATGTTCATATACAACTCTACTTAGAAACATAACAGCTATAAAATTTCTTTTTAAGGTCAATATTTATCAAACTATGTTTGTACAGCAAATGTGAGTTTTAGGTAAAGTTCACTAGAACATGGAATACAGCTAGGCTCTATGGTACAGGGGCATGCCTTCATTTCACACTGGAGTGCCAGTTCCTGTGCACCCTGCTTCTGCTCTGACTTCCTACCAACGCATCCTGGGAGGCAGCAGATGATGGTTCAAGTAGTGAGCTCCCTGCCACCCACATGGAAGACCTGAGTGGAGTTGGCTGGTTCAGCCTTGGCAGTTGCACCCATGTGTGCAGTGAACCAGCAGGTTGAAATTTCTCTTCTTTCCTTCTATCTCTTAATCTCCCTTTCCTTTTTCCTACCTCTCTCTGTTGGTCTGCCTTTTAAGAAGATAACAACAAATAACTATTACAAAATAGAGTTTATCTTTGTGATTATGTTAGTCCATTTCTATTATTTCTCTTAACAATATGCATAATATTAGTTTTTTTTCACTCTCTAGGTAATTCTAAATCTGACTCTAAGTCAGTAACACTGCTTTCAGCCTGGAAGATGTTTTACTAACCACCTAAGACCATGACATTTATCGATAGATCAGTTGCTTACACATTTCTTAAAAAAGTTATAATGCAATATAATGTCAAGATCTATAGCAGGTGGTTTCTTCAACTGCTTTGATATCAAAATCTTAAATTGTCTATGCATCTTTCATTTAATGGTATAGCAATTGCATATAACATGTATATAGCCGCTCATGTAATTAAGCACTTCTAATTATAACACATAATGATAATGTTATACAAAAGCCTGTTCTACCACTTTAAGAAAAGATAAGAATCAAGTCTTGCATGTTTAGCACATACACAATCATTGTAAGCCTAACTATGCAATACAGAAAGCGAGTGGGAGACAGACACTGCTCACACAGTGATCACTGAGAGGAGATGGAGGATCTACGAAACGACAGGACACAGCAGTGTGTGCCTAACATTGCTTCATTTTTGCAGACAGAGCACAGTGTTTTCTTGCCACATGCCAAATTCAAATTTTGGTTTTTGGAACCTCCTGGACATACTGCTCTGCTGAATATTTCTGATGTACTTCTGGTTGAATCTATGTGTATGTGAAATCTATGGATATGGAAGTCTGACTATAACAGAAAAACTCACCTCCATAAAATGAAGAAGTTTTTCAGTGGATGCCTCATAAGCTTTTCGAGCCATTTCTGATTTCCGCAGCTGGCAATCAAGTACTGTGATCCTCTTTCTTAAATCCTGAACACTGTCCTGGATAGAGATATCAAAAGACGAATCAACATATCTTTTCAACTTTTAATTACTGTTTCCTATTTCCAGGTTTTAAGAACCAAAACTTAGAAGAAAAAAAATGTTTACAAAGATATGTAGTGCTTTTATTTTGGTTTTGCTAAGTAATCAAAAGGAAATTTTTTTTTAATAATACTCTCCTGAATAATTCCTAACAGGATTAGGCCCAAAATCCATATGACTTTGTGGCTTGAAAATCCACAAGCTTAAAATTTACTTTAAATTGGTCCCAGGATAATGAAAGCAAACACGAAACTTCTCTGGAAGGATATTTTCTGAAGTTAGACTTCAAAGAATTCCCATATATCATATGCCAAAAGACATGACCAAACAAAATTATAGATATCACTAAAAATATGAGAAAACAAGTTCCATGACTAAAATTCAGCTAAGGGAAACATGGACTGAAGATATTAGCATGATCCAGATATAGGATAAAGAGAGAGAGTTAAAAGTAGACCAAAGGGTCAAGAAAATACCAATATAGATTCAGGGGAAAAAAAGCAGCCCCCTAAATAAAATGTACTTATAATTAAACTACAATTTGATATGTGGTTTTAACATTCAATTAGATACAATTAAAAAGAGAATTCACGAACTGGAAGACATAGGTAAGGAAATATGTCATGATAGAGCAGAAGACAAAAATTGAAATACGAATGAAAAATAGGTAAGGAGAAACATTAGAAGATGTGGTATATATTCCATCTGAATTACACAAAATCAACTAGAAGGGAGGGAAGAGAATTAGCTTCAAATAATAGCTCAGGGTTTTCCAGAAATGGCAAAAGACACTGATAAGGAAGCAGGACGATTCCAAGAGTATAAATTGCAGTAAGACAACACATGACTAATTGTAGTGAAAATGCTGAATGTCAAAGCCAATGATTTCTTCAAATCGCACACAAGGTAACCAAGTGCAAGCAAGTGACAGGCTAATAGCCAACCTCACAAAAATGAAGTAATAATGAATGGATTCAAACATAACAATACTTGAAATGCAGCAAAACTGAAATTCTTTTCAAACCAAATGAAGATTCTTGCTGCCCACAAATTTTACTAAATGAATTTCTTAAAGGTGTATTTCATGAAGAAAGGATATGATCCCAACACTAAGAAAGAACACTGAGTACAGAAATGATAAATATATAAGGTTTACCTAAACAAATTCTAGATACAGAAGAAGTTACTATATTATCTAATTTGTGAAACTAACATTCAAGACAAAATAGAAATTAAGTAGGAACTGCTCATTGGATTTATGCTCTAACGTGCTTATGTGTTTAGAAGGGAATAGCACAAATGAATTCTATAATATGCTAAAATAGAACATAAAATGGTTAGACTATCAAAATCACAATCATAAAGTAAAACTTCTAACCCATCAGAAGGAAATTCATGCAATGGTACAGGGAGGCAAAATAGAAATGTAAACCAATCAAAAAGTCAAGAAATAAAAACAAAACACACCAGACAATAAAATACATGAAGAGGCAAACAGGAAGCCAAGCACGTTAGCAAATAAGAATATAAATGAAAAGATACTTCTAAGACTTAGCACTGTGGCACAGTGGGTTAAGCTTCACTGGTATCTCACTTGAGCATCACCAGTTCTAGTCTGGGTTGCTCCATTTGCAATCCAGCTCCTTGCTAAAGTCTCCAGAAAAAAACAGGAGAAGATAGCCCAAAAGCTTAGTGCCCTGTCATCAATAAGAGAAACCTGGAAGGAGTTCCAGGCTCTCGGCTTTGGCCTGGCCTAACCTTGGCTGTTGTGGCCATTTGGGAAATGGATGGAAGGTCTCCATCTACAACCCTGCCAATAACACAAACTAATACAAATTGAAAATTATATGTTAGCTGCTTGAAAAATCACATTATTACTTTTCAAAAATTTTTTATATTTATTTTCATTTTAAAGGCAGGTCTTACAGAGAGAAGGAAAGACAGAAGTCTTCCCTCTGCTGATTCATTGCCCAAATGGCCACAAATGTCAGAGCTGAAGTGATCTGAAGCTGGGAGTTAGGAGCTTTTTCTAGGCCTCCCGTGCAGGTGCAGAATCCCAAAGACTTAATCACCCATTGGCTGCCTTCCCAGGACATAAGCAGAGAGCTGTACTGGAAGTGGAGCAGCTGGGACACAAACCAGTGCCCATACTAGGTGTTGGCACCACAGGGCAGAGGATTAATTTGCTGTACCATCATGCTGACTCCGAGAACAATATTATTTAAAAACAAAGTCTAAAACATCATTAATTTCCCCCTCTAAAGTAGCTATAATTATTTAGGTGTAACTCTAATATTTCGATATTCTTCCCAAAATAGTTTCAGAATCACTTTAAGCTACAGAAATAATCACATATAAATGTAAATACTGGGTTAAAAACCAACAAATGTATGCAATACTCTTTTAAAAAAGACTTTACTTATTTTAAAAGCACAGTTATATCTGTATATCAAAATAGCATATATATGTATATATGTATATATATATATATATAGAGAGAGAGAGAGAGAGAAAGCTGGCTTCTTCTAAGCTTTCCACTTCTATAAAGTTACAAAGCATCTATTTCAATTTATGCAATTGTCCACCTTACTTCAGTGAGGTACAAATGTCAATTATAGTTTCTGTAGGCTATTCAGTCGGTATAATATATACTAGAAAATTTATATAACAAAGAAATTCAGGTGGAGGGAGGTTCACATTGTTTCTGAAAACTTCTGAAATTGGAAGATGGTTTACTGAAGTCTAATTTAATACCCTTTAAATTTAAAATCTCAAGCTCAAACTCTATTTTTTCGTATTAATGACTTTTAGTCTTTGGCAAAATTTTTAACTGGTATAGTTCCTTGCTGGCTCTGGTCAAAAAGCAAAACCCATTCCTAGGTTCCTCTCCTTCTATTCCCATAAGACAAATTAGTAGGTTTAGAAACAAAAGGGGGAAAAGCAATGTAATCAATTAAGTGTGAAATAGTTCCAAGAATGGCTACTGCTTGAACAACATTGACCAATGACCGAAATAAATTTTGCGCACATTCATTTCCATCTCAGAGCACTGTGGCTAAAGAAAGACTTACAACTTTTACATTACCCTTCATGACAGACACACCATCCTATCACCGAGTAACAGAAGACAAACACTGACCTAGTTTAGAAGTGCCGATGAAAAGAAAATGAAAACAGGATACATAACAACGGCGAGGAAACCATGGTAACTGGGAGAGGAAGCTGTTTTGCTTACTTTATTTTGGTCAGAACACTCGGCAAGCTGAGCCTTTAGCTCTGTAATCTCGGCCTCTAGCAGACGGATCACTTCTTCATAGTCCATTTCCATTCTGTGGGCCTGCCTCTGTGCAGCTTCAGCAAGATGAATGCGACTTCGCAGAGCTCTTGTTTCTTCAACCACAGCTTTAGCTTCCTAAACATCCAAGTTAATATCATTGAGAGCACAAACAGAAGCTTATACAAAATTATCCTTTCAAAGTTTAATCAATGCACATACTTTCCACCTGTAAGTTTGAACACTAAGATTTTATTTTATTGTGTGAAGTAGCTGCCTGTTCTTTGTGTGTGTGTGTGTGTGCATTAATTCACTGGATAGTTTTCCACATAGAATCTCTAGCTTCACACAAATTTAGAACAGCATTTGAAAATAAGGAAAGAAAAAAAAAAGAATTGAAAATGGAAGATTAAGAATTGGTTCAAAAGGTAAAAATAGGAGGCTGCATGTGGTTGGCTTTGTGGCATATCAAGTAAAAGCTGCCACCTGTGTCACTGGCATCCCACATGTATGCTGATTCAAATCCAGGCTGCTCCACTTTCAATCCAGCTCTGCATTACTGGCCTGAGAAATCAGTGAAGGATGGTCATGCACATGGCAGAGCAGGATAAAGTTCCTGGGGCTCCTGGCTTCACAGCCTTGGCTATTGTAGCCACCTGGGGAGTGAACTAGCATAGGAAAGACCTCTTTCTCCCTCTATGTCTTCCTGTCTCTTTGTAACTGACTTTCAAACAATTTTTTTTAAGGAGGGTATCAAATCTCCTAGATTCATTCTAATTGCTACATCTCCCTTTTGGTTTCAGTCTAAAGGTAGAATTTGGTAATATACACACAGACACAACTGCACAAACATACAAGGTATCAAGAGGATCCAATGTTCGCAAAATACGTATTAAGTACATGTTGTAGTTTAAGTGTTTTGTATGTCTTTTCTCATTTAATCTTTACAACAACTTTGAGAGAAAGGCATAATTACAAATTATTTCAGACATTAGCAAACAGGCTCAGAGAAGTTACATAGTTTAAGGAAATACAGTAGTGCCAGAATTTGAACCCTGATCTGCCCAACTTCAGCATTAATATCTTCTCTTCATTAGCTTATTCTGCCCTGAAGTGGCAAACTCAATTCAAAGCACAGCCCCACATACCAGCCACTCTCCTGCTTAGCACGAGATAGGAGTGGCCAAAACTACTTGCTGTCTCAAAATGTGCCCTGGTATTTGGTGAAAGATAATACTTTAAAATACAATGTAACAGACACGTCACCATTTCTCTCAGTGTGTGTGTGTGTGTGTGTGTGTGTGTGTGTGTGTGTGTAGAAATCTCTCTCTCTCTGCAATGGAACTTTCTGCTCCAATTGCCATAGCTAATATTAAATTATGGCTATTTTAATTTTCTTAGAATGGTTATAGGACATTTGCTTTTGCTTGAGCCTAAAAACATTTGATGTTCCGGGATGGCTAGGGATATGGACATACTCTTAAAGGTTAGTTTCTCATTCAGCCATTCAATAACTATTTATTACTTATCATGTATCAGATTCTTGGTTTGACATTCTCTTGCCCCTCTGCCTTTATGCTCCATTTTGGGTGGGGGGGGCAGATAAGATGGTAAATGAGTAATGACCAGGAAAGATCTCATTGAGATTTGTATTTGAGACTCATAGTGAGAATGAAGCCAGGACCACCTGAGGAGCACCCTCAGGCACAGAGGGAACTGTTTCTACAGAGACCCTCAGATAGGACTGTGAGTTTAGAGAATAATACAGAGGCCCGCATGGCAGGGGCAGGGTCACTGGTGATGGGGGCAGAGCTTAAGGGTTCTGTGAACTACTGTAAGGACTTTGGTTTCACCTGGAGTGCAACAAGCGAGTGATCCCAAGTTTTGAGCAGAAAAGAAATATGGATCTCAGTGATAAGGCACTTGCACTGACGTGTTGAAAAGTGATTGTAAGGGATGGGTAAAGTTGGAAGCTGGGAGGCGAGTAATGGAACAGGGGATTTAATTAAGCCTTAGACGATGGTGATAGTGGTGAGGATGGTGTCAAGTGTTTAGATTTGAAATACAGTCTGAAAGTAGAGCTAACAGAACAATAGCTCAGTAACATTTATTTAGCAGTTACTGTCTCTAGACAGCCATGCTTTCTGCTAAAAGTACAAAGGGATAAAAGATATCTTTCCCCCTTCTTTCTGGCTCACCTTAAGGTAATAGATATGACTGCTAAGACAAATGGATAAAAGAAGGGTGTATGAGGCACAAAGAACCACGTAAAGCAGAGAGATCAGGAGGATGTGGCACATTTGAGAAATGATATTAGACCAATTTTATTGCAGCAGAGTTTTTCTACGAGGGGTAAAAGCTAAAGAAGGCTGAGGAAAGGGTAGATGAAGGTTGGGCTCTAGTAGAAATGACATTGGGAGAGCATAGCCTTCATGACAGAAAATGACAGGGGGAAAGTGTGCTTTTCAAAGATCAACCTGGTAAAGTGGCAGGGACTGGGTCACTGGGGATGGAGGCAGAGTGAGGCTGGAGAGAGGCAGTCAACCTTCAGTCTTCTACACTCTCATCTGTAGAGCCTTGTATTTTGTAATAGGCGCTTTTAGAAAGAAATTCCTAGGAAAGAAAGGTATATCTACCCATTACATCAACTAGCTAGATCCAGGTGACCAAGACTCTTCAATGACACAGTTGGGTCAATTTCACTTCAGACGACTGCTGTGCACGAGGAGGTAAGAACTCCTCCAAGTGCCAGCACTGTATTAAATCTTCCTTATGGGCCATTCAGCAAATCTGCACAAATGATAGAAGTATCCATTATTCTTCCTCCTGGAATTTCATTTTTTTTTAAAGATTTATTTTATTATTTTTATTGGAAAGGCGGATATACAGAGAGGAGAGACAGACAGGAAGATCCTCCGTCCGATGAATCACTCCCCAAGTGAGCGCAATGGCCAATGCTATGCCGATCCGAAGCCAGGAGCCTCTTCCGGCTCTCCCACATGGGTGCAGGGTCCCAAAGCTTTGTGCGGTCCTCGACTGCTTTCCTGGGCCACAGGCAGGGAGCTGGAAGGGAAGCAGGGCTGCCGGGATAGAACCGGCACCCATATGGGATCCCGGGCGTGCAAGGTGAGGACCTTAACCACTTGCGCCACCGCCCGGCCCTGGAACTTCATTTTACAGATAAGTCACAAAGAACTGAAAGCTTCAGGAGCTTGCCTAGAATCATAAATCTAAGAGTTAGGATTTGACCCATGGAATCTACAAAGTTTGCATTGTTGGCTATGATGACACACTATCTTGCCAACTATAGAACATTTAAAAAAATGCACAGGGCAAGAGACTGATCAAGCAGTTAAAGGGGAGGGGAGGATGCTCATGTCCATATTGGGGTTCATACCTGCCCCAAGTTCCTGACTCTATCTTCATATTAACACATAATTACACTCTTGCCACTCGTGTGGGAGACCTGGACTGTATTCCTCCTGGCTCCTAGCCTCAGTCTCCCCTAGTCACAGCTGCTGTGAGTGTTTGGAGGAGGGAAATAGTGTCTAGAAATTCTCATTCTTCCCATTTGAATTGCATTCAATTCCTAACTTCATCCCCCACCAAAAACAAAACTTGTATATGATGATATCATCACTACTCACGCCTACATAAACTTAGGATGTGACTATTACAGTAGACTCAAACACATTTGACACATTTGAGTCTACTATACTGTTGCTCATTTATTCAATCATATGTACATAAATGGCATATACATATTTGATCATATATATGGATACATAATATTTGCATTTTTCAAATTGACGCATACGTGAAATCTAGAAAAAACTTAAGAAAAAATAGATATACTATGGAAAAAATATACTTGGATTTCAGAATTTTTTGCACTAACATAAACTGTGTCTCACCTCTGCTCTCTATTCCATCTTTCTGCTAAAGTGTGCCACCTCGGGAGACAGTACGTGGCGACTCAGGCAGTTGGGCCCCTGCTGCTATGTAGTAAGTCCAGATTGAATTCCCAGTCCTGGTTGCAGATCTGGTACAGTCCCAGCTCTTGCAGGTATTTGGCAGGCAAACCAGCAGATTTCAGATGCCTTTTCTGTCACTTCTCAAGTAAATTAAACAAAACTTATCTTTTAATCTCAATTTCCATGAACTTCCTGAAGTGTTCTCTGTATAACTGTCACATTAGGGGAGCAGCAGCAAACTCTCCACAGATGCAAAAAATAATAACAATGATTTGTCTCTTTCACATTCACTTCATTCAGCTTTTCTTCCTCTAAAAAAAAAACACTTTTATTTTTGTCCAAAGAATGCTAGTTAATTAAGTGAAGAATCTGGATGCAATTTATATAGCCAGTGTAGTGTACTGATGGTAATGCAGTGTGAAATGCAGTTGGGTGTTAAAAGATGCAGAGGTTTTGATGCTGAATAAATCCATGCTATTTCTTTAGTAAATGTAAAATTGTCAGGCTGGTGAATGTGACCCCTTAGCAAAGTTCTAGCCCAATTCCCAATGAATGGCTGTTTAAAAGATCAGTGCAATGATGACTCTTGGAGGAAGCAGCAAAGAAAAGATAACAGCAGTGGCCGTATTTAGCCATGCAGGATCACATAAATCCATGTTCTCTTTTCCTCCTGGGCTGCCTTCTATTAAATAAATGTAAAAATCCTCTATGCAAGCAGCACTTGAGCTAGAATCTTCCCAGCACCTCACTGTGAGCCTGAAATCCCATCAGGGTGAACGCTGTAGTTAATTTGCTGACTTACTTAGCATTAAGGAGAGTTTAATTCAGTTTAGAAATCTAGATGACTTTAAAAAACCAAACCCAATAAGGTCTAATATTAAATCAGAAAAATCAGTACAAGTGCTATATGTTAGTGGGCATTAAGAACAACAGCATTAGAAAGAAACCTTGAATTATGAAGTAAACTTTCTCACCATTTTTTTTTTTTTTTTGGAAACACTAAGAAAACTCACAGTGTCCTTTTGCAAAAGGCCACTTTTCCACCTCATAATTTCACAGCGAATCTTTAGGGGAGATCAGACCAAATTTTTTTTTGGAAAATATAATTCAAATGAATAAAAATTTTTTTGTAGAATCTACATGGTTTGGACTAGCTCTTTGACT